AATGAGTGCCCTCCAGTCCCTCTCTGAGACTCTTCTGGTGTGTCCAGGACCGGTGCTATAGAAGACAGTGCGCTTCCCAGTAGCAGGCCACGTAGGGGCTTCTGGGAGGAGCTGTGCTGCCCGGACATCATGGTTGAGAATGGAACAGGGGCTCACCAGTCAGTCTCTAGAGACAGCGGGCAGACCCACCGTGGCTCAGTGGATGGTGGTGGGACGGCTGTACAGGTGTTGAAAGATAACCTTGAGGGACTATGATACAGGCCCTACTTTGATCCTCCACTAGCTCTTGGCTCAGGAACGTAAATTGTGCTCTACGCTAGGTCCTCCAGGCTTCCTAGTGACGGTCTGGACTTTGGCCTGAGCCTGTTACCGTCCTTGTCACTAATGCTGAGCCGATTAAGACAGGAGTTCTCAAAGGGGTGGTGTCAGGGGAACCTTGGGATTCCCTTTGGCAGAAGGCTGTCCCTCCAGCTGTTAGACCTTGCCTGACAGTTTATTTTGTTTCTCAGGTGGCTGATCCCGTTGTCACTTTCTGTGAGACAGTGGTGGAAACATCCTCCCTCAAGTGCTTTGCTGAAACACCCAATAAGAAGTAAGCAGTGGGGGTCATAGTGACCCTGGGACTCACAGGGGCACTTCCCCTCCCCCCAGCTCTATCCCAGTCAGAAGAGCTGTGGAAATAGAGACCTTTGAGTCTTGGGATGTGGGTGCTTAGGATACTTGAGCTTTGCCCCAGCCCTTTCATCCCTTATACCTTTGGACACGATGCTATGGAATTCTTTGTCTTAGTTACTCCCAGGGTGAGTTTTGTAATTGCCGGTTCTCCTCTCTGTATAACATGACCATCTTAAAATTTTCCCTAGCAGCAACTCTCCTGTTCACTGTGTTTAATACATTAACACTGGTTTAAAGCTTTTTAAAAAATTGCCAAACCTTACTTTTTTAAGGAGTAGTAGATTCAATTGAAAGAAGGCAGAAGATGAGATCTTTTTCCTCTTCTCTGCCTCTGTGGCTTTTACTGATGTCCCTGCCTTAGCTCTTCCCTTTTTCACCCTTTTCTTAGGAATGTTCCGCTTGCTAGTCCTGCTGACTCTCCTCATTACCCATGTCCTTTCTGACTAGGAACAAGATCACCATGATTGCTGAGCCTCTCGAGAAGGGCCTCGCCGAGGACATAGAGAACGAGGTGGTCCAAATCACATGGAACAGGTGAGAACGTGGCTCTGATTCCAGGACTAAAGGCCGACGTTGCTCCACAGCTTACCTGCTGGGTCTCTCTAATCCTCTGGGAAGAAATTGTGTCTCCCTCTCTTGTCCTGGGCGCAGTGTGGGTGTCCAAGGTGACTGTCGTATGGAAAGGCAGAATTCATGGAGCCAGTAATCACAGAACTGTCTGACACTGCCATTTTCTCGTCCTTCCCCCAGGAAGAAACTGGGAGAGTTCTTTCAGACCAAGTATGACTGGGATCTGCTGGCTGCCCGTTCCATCTGGGCTTTTGGCCCTGATGCCACTGGCCCCAACATCCTGGTGGATGATACCCTGCCCTCTGAGGTACAGCAGAACTGATGGGAGCCATGTGGTGGTCTCTTAGCTCCTGAGTGGAAGAAATTACAAAGTGCTCTTCTTCTCCTGAAAGTATTTTGTATCTTCTGGTAAAGAAGAGTATCTTTTTACTGGTCTACCTACCTTCTTCTCCTTATAAACTCTTTGGCTATAGCCAGGGTCACTGCTAAGGGGCTCTCATGTTTTGTGCAGGTGGACAAGGCTCTTCTCGGCTCAGTGAAGGACAGCATCGTTCAAGGTTTCCAGTGGGGAACCAGGGAGGGGCCCCTTTGTGATGAGTGTAAGTCCACAGTGCCTCTGTCTTCTCGCCCCAGTCCTCTGGTGTCCTTGCATCTGGGGGTATGAAGTGGGGTGGGCTCATCTTTGGGACCTGCCAGGAGAAGCAGCTTGGGGCACACAGGGCCAACCCATGTCCTGGGCCAGCTTCCTCTCTTGTCCTTCCCTGTCCTCATGCTGCTGCTTGTTGGTACATCCTAGAAATGGAAATCATTTCTAGATTGACATTTGCTCCTCATTCCTAGAGTGTGTTTGAGGAAGGATGTCAAGAGGAGAATGGGATTGGAGTGGTTTATAGACCAGGATTGGACTTAGTAGGGACAAATGTGCAATTTCTAGGACTTACTCTACATCCAAAAGTAATTAAATATCTGCAAGGGAAACATACGCACTTCTAGGGATACTTTATGAAGTCTGAGCATGACCTGAAGCCAACACTGAGAATGTACGCTTACCTTCTGATCTCCACCTGCGCTATTAGGATGCACGTCTGCAGGGTGATTCTGTACCACTTTTCGTGGCCATAGGACAGCTACAGTGCTGCAGGAGGCTCCTTGCTGCTTTGCCCGTGCGCCCTTGACTAGCAGAACCACTCCTCAGTCAGTTCCCCCTTCTCCTTTTCAGTGATTCGAAATGTCAAGTTTAAGATCCTGGATGCTGTGGTTGCCCAGGAGCCCCTGCACCGGGGTGGGGGCCAAATCATCCCCACAGCAAGGAGAGTTGTCTATTCTGCCTTCCTCATGGTAAGTGAGTGGGGCTGTCCTGCCACTGGCATTAAGTGGGGCTTTGAGACGACTGTCCCCTAGCCTTCCCTTTATCCAAGTGCTCGGTCTTCAGCCTTCCCCAAGCTAAGGAACCCTTCTTGTTCTGTTGCAGGCCACGCCTCGTCTGATGGAGCCCTACTACTTTGTAGAGGTCCAGGCCCCTGCAGATTGTGTCTCTGCTGTCTACACCGTCCTGGCCAGGCGCAGGTGAGCAGCCCCAGTGTGTTAGGGAGAGTGCGGCGAGCAGCAGCGGAGCAAGAAGTAACTTACTGCTGTGGGGAAAGAGGCGTTGGCCTCCCCCAGCCACTCCGTTCCTGAAACCTAGTGAGCCGGTTTGTAGAAGGAAGTGGGAAAAGAATGAGGCAATCCCCAGAATTAATGCAAATTAAAACTTGGAGACTCCTTCTTGGGCTCCCTCCTCAGAGAGCTCCTGGGGCAAGTACAGCAGTGTGTCAAGAGTGGGAATGTCTAAAGGACCCTGTCCCATCAATGTCCCACTGTTACCCAGAGGTCGCTGCCCCTTTGACTTCCACAGAGAATTAGGCTGAGAGCCCCAGGCCTTCTCTGCCCTCTGGAGCATGCTTGTGGTTATTCTTTCTTTGATGATAAACATTTGGGGATGCATTGCTTCTTTGCTTTTGGCCTCTGTAGGACTACAGTCTTTTTGTTTTTCTGCCTCAGGGGACATGTGACTCAGGATGCACCCATTCCAGGCTCCCCTCTCTACACCATCAAAGCTTTCATCCCGGCCATTGACTCTTTTGGCTTTGAGACTGATCTGCGGACTCACACCCAGGGTCAGGCATTTTCCTTGTCTGTCTTCCATCATTGGCAGGTAAGAAAATGGTGCAGGCTGGCTAGCGTGGCCTTCCACCCCTACAGGGCCAGTCTGCTCTGACCAGCTCCCCTTCTAAGCCCCAAGTGGGATTAGAAGAGTCCTGCTTCTAGGCCTGAATGCTCTGGGAGGTCGGCCTGGACCATCCAAAACCACTTTGCCTTTCAGATTGTACCTGGTGATCCTCTGGACAAGAGCATTGTCATCCGCCCCTTGGAGCCACAGCCAGCTCCTCACCTGGCCCGGGAATTCATGATTAAAACCCGTCGTAGGAAGGTAAATGTCCCTCAGGCCCATGGCCATCCCTCCACCCCCAGGGGTCTCGGCAGAAATTGGGTCTCTCTTCATACCTTGCTTTTGGACCCTTCTCCCAAAGACTGAGAGAAGTTCACAACATAGAAGATGCAATCTGGACAGGCTTCAGGCAGCCAAACCTGGGCTCAGTCTGACTGGGAAGGGAGTGCCTTCTCCTGCCCTGTGATGATACACAAAAGGCAGGGCTCCTGAAATAGCTCAGCTGAGACTCAGCCCCGCATCAGCCCCCAACTCAAGCACAGGTCAGTCTGCCTCCACAAGGGGCTCATGCTTGCATTTGCCCCCGCTCTCTGCAGGGCCTGAGTGAAGATGTGAGCATCAGCAAGTTCTTTGATGATCCTATGTTGCTGGAGCTCGCCAAGCAGGATGTTGTGCTCAATTACCCCATGTGAGTGCCAGGGTCCTGGCAGCTCCTGCTCCCTGCAGTGGGCTGCGTCCTGGACTTGAAGCTGGGACCTGGTATGACTTGGACTCCATGTTGTCAGAGAGTATCTGGGCGCTGCTGTGGCCATCCTGAACAACCCAAGAACCTCCAAGCCTCCAGCCCAGAGTCCTTCCCCAGGACGAGCATTTGGCCTCCGGCTTCTTCCTGTGGCCTCTGCCTGGCTCCATTCCCGGAGAACAGAGAGATGCTTGGGCTCAGGGAAGGAGAAGGGTATGGAAGTGCTGAACCCCAAGGGGCCCTGTCCTCAGAATTTACATGGAATTTTTTTACAAGTTTGACCTTACACATGGTTTATAAGTGAACAGAACATTCTGACTTCTGCCTCGCTCTGTTCCTTTCATCCCCACTCCTCAGCCCCCTTTCCTCTAGCACAGTCTAGTCCTGGCACTTGGGTTTTGGATATATGTGGTCTCCCAAGAGGCCTCACTGTCTCTGCTTCCAGCTGCAGCCCTCTTCCTGCCTGGGTCCCCAGGGAAGCGGCCTATGGGGGAAGGAACGCCTGCCTCTTAAATTCAGTGTTCCCATGAGCATTGTGGCCTCTTTACTGCCCATCCCTCACACTCTGAGCATCTTGTTCTCTCTACCATGCTGCTTCTGGGTGGGACCTGAGGGGATTTGGGAGTTGTTGGGTCTCTGGGATCAGAGGTCTACTACACCCCCTCCTCTGCCCCTGAAGAGTCTCCTTGCCCTGGAATTGGGGGCCAGAACTCTTTGATTTCCAGCCCTTTGCTCTAAGTCCTCCCACCAACCACTATCAGCTTCTTACTCTGCTCTCCCCTATGTAAAGAAGAGACTGTCAACTTGCCTCAAAACTACTTTATTAGGCTCACACCAGGGATCGGTTAAAGAGGTTCTGACTGCCCCAGGCCGTGTAAGAATCCTACTTCTCCCCGGCATCCTGCGCTGTTCTTTTGATACAGTCTCTGTACATTGTGTACACAGCCCCTGTGTGAAGGAAAAGGAAAAATGTCCCATGACATGGAACCCTCCACCCATCCTCTGGCTCTCCCAGGTGTCCCAGAGAGGAGGAACAGCTGTGGAATCCCAAAGTCCCGGGGGTCCGATGCTGGTCGTTCCCCTGAGTGTCCGGCTTCCCTGCTCATCTTTCCACCCTGCGTCTCAACAGCTGCTACAAACACCTGGCTACACAGCCTGAGGAAACAACCCATTTGCCAGTTCACAAAGCACTTTAACGTATATTGTCTGTCTGAGGAAGCTCACAGCAGTCTGTGAGGTAGGCAGGCAGGGGTGGGTATCGTCATGTTGCACATGGGGAAGCTGAGTCTCAGAGGAAGGGATTTGTCCTCTGTCACACAGGTAGTAAGTAACTGCCTTTTGCTCCAGAGAGGAAGAGAAAATCGGCATACATTCTGCTGTGTGGTTCTTCTCACCTCTAGAAAAACTCACAAAACAAACTATACACCATCCCCTGGGACACAGGAGATTAAACAGGGAACCCTGGAAATGTCTCTATGTGAGGGCTTTACCAAAGGCCAGATGTGGCGCCTAGTATAGGGAATAGGGACCGAACTCATGGTCCTTTAACTGACTCACAGCCAGATTCTGCCTAATCAGTTTCGCCTTCATTTTCCCATGACCCCGCCAGCTACTCACCCAGCATGATTGCACCCACAGCACAGGCCTGTGCCGCCACTCGGGTGTGAATCAGGTGTATGGACATCTTGGTGGAACCACGAGCCTTCAGCCGGTAAATCCTATATGCTGCCACCATCAGACAGCCTCCTAAGCCTGTGTGGGCAGAGAACGTGACCCTTGGTCCTTAGTCACCAAGCACAACATTCCTGGTGAGACACCTCACTAGACAGGCTAAACATCTGGATAAACAGTTGCCTTCTTGCTGCTGCTTTGGGGTGGGGGTGGGGGCGGTGCAGGGGCAGTGGGGTGGGTGGGGGCTATCATCAGAATATTGAATTGTTTCTTCTCAATAGCATTTACAAAGTGGCTGCCTACCTCCAGTGACTCCCGTCCTCCACGTACAATAACCCATTGTCATGACACTCCCACTCCCCTTAGCTCTGCTCCGGCCCTTCAACCATTGCTGGCTCCCACGTCTGTTCTCCCCTCCCAGACTGCTCCTGCTCATCCTGACACTGGTGTTGGTATCACATACACTTGAATGTTGCCACCTCCATCCATCCATCCAGACTCCCTCATTTCATTGTCAGGATGTGTCCCTTTGTCCCTTGGCACCTTTGCTGTTGGTTCACTTCTAGCTGTTGATTATTCACCAGGTAGGACCACTTGAGTTCTGTGCTTTATTCTTTGAAGGACTAGGAGATATGTTCTCTCTCAGAGATGGCCCTCTCCTCGGCCCCCATTCCTTCCTTTCCCACTCACCTATAGGTACCAGCGGAGACTCCCTGGTCTTCCTCAGGAATTTCTCAGACACGCTGTCCTCGCCCTCAGGTGGTGCCCACCAGCCTTTGTTTGCAGACATGATTCTGCCCCCAGATGTTAGCAGCTGGGGCTCCTAGGCTTCAGCCCAGTCCTAGAAGGAGGCACTCCACAATAAGAACTCCAGTTCTCCTCAGCCTGGGGTGGGAAGGTGGAAATTGCCTGGTAAGACCCTCTCTTACCATGCCCAACACAGCTGCTACTTGAAAAGATGCCCAGGTATCCTGTCTCGGATGGCTGGACCACTAGTGCCGTTTCTCTATCTCTTCTTCCTAACATCTGCTACATCTCCCAGCTCATTCTGACTTCACTGTCTTCTCTGCTTCCCCTCTTTCATCTGTGTCCCTATCAGTGTGATCCTTGGGCCAAGAAAAGCAGCTGGAAAACTCCAGAGGAGGGTGGGAGGAACAAGCCTTGAGCCTTGGGTCCCCCACTGGCCTTGAGTCTGTGATGGTTGTTCCTGAGGGAGCTGCAGAGCAGGATCTGACCCCAGGCAGTCAGAGCCACCCCAGACAGTATCACAGCACTGGTTACCAAGTCACCAGAGCCAGAGATTAGACGTCGATATGTGTATAATTTAACATAGATTATGGACATTAATACCAACGCAACAAATTTTGGTCCCTGAGCTGCTCCCCCGTCTCCAGGTCCATCTCTTGCTAGATTCTTTACAGTTGCCAACCCCTGCCTCATCCCTGGGCTGGGCACTCCTGTTACTCTACTTGCTAACCCCTGTAAATGCCTGCTGATCACAAACTAGATGGGGTCCCAGAGTTCTAGTCCTTAGACCAGGGGTTCTGCCTGCCAGGTGCCTTCTAACCACAAATTCCCTGCTGGAGGCCACTTCTCTTCCTAGTTGCCCATCCTTTCTCCTGAAGGAGCAAGGACTGTTGGCCCCACGGGTCTGCAGCATGCCAGTGCTTACCCTAGGAGGTGGCTAGAAAGCGGAGTGCACGCAGCTGGGCCAGAGCTCAGTGTCTGCTGTTTTGAACCAGCCAAGAGCTGACGATGGAGCTGCCACTGTGGGGTCAGGGAAGCTGTGACGGGCTTTATGGAGACTTTGAAGTCAGAAATGGAGAGGGGAGGAGATAGGACAGGGCATCAGTCTTAACCCCCCATCTGCTGAGTTCCAAGCTGGAACTCCAAGCCCTGGAAAGTAACGAAAGACCAGATGGAGGGGAGCCCATACCTCGATTCAGTCTTTTAATTCCCATGAACATAAATGGCTGGATCAGAGACAGACTCGATGTGGAGAATTGAGATGGGGATACAGAGGCAATAGTGGGTCGAGAGCCTGGTTTCTCCCCCATGCAATACTGCCTCAAGTACTCTTAAGAACAATGTGAGATATAAATGAAATGCCTTAATTGTGAGAGGCAGGCTTTCTGGTCTTGGTCTTGATCCCCCCAAGGAGATTTGTCCAGGAGTTTGAAACAAGTGGGACTTCCTTATATCTCCAGAGCTCTTCATACTGCCTGCGGGGTGATGATGCTCATTCTGGTTCCAGAGATGACAGTGATCAGGATTAGCACGTTTTCTAGTTTAGGTATTTGCAATTCAGACCTTTCAGCTGTTCTACGCAGTAAGTAGCAGCTTGTTCATAGACCAGGAACTGAGCTTCTGAGAGACTCAGTGAATTATCCCCTAGTGCACAGCTAGTAAATGGCAGCGTCCTGATCTGAACTTAGGTCCTGCTGGCTCCAAAGTTTGTACTTCTAGCCTGCTTCCCAGGGGGCTAGCCAAGCTGAAACCCTCTCCAGGTTGATGCTGGAATTTAGGAATGCTCATCAATCGTGGCACCCTTGATTAGGAGAAGGAAAAGAATGTGTTTTCTTACTAAGAAATGAAGAAAGATCAGGATGCACTATGGTGAGCCCCACTCCATCCCAGGCCTTTGTTCCTTCCCTAGATTACTCTCAGCCCATGTGTCTACCCTAAAGGGGCCTTTTGCACTGGAAATTTGTCCAGCAGCTGTTGTCTCTCTTTTCTCTCCCCAGCACTCTGTGCTCTAGGGAGAGACCCAGGGTCACAGCAGCTCCCCAGGGCCTCTGCATATCCCCAGCGTCCATGGGAACTCTCCTCCCAGTCATTCACACACTCTCCTGTGCTGCCTCTCCTGGTCCGACAGATGGTCTAGGCCAGAAGTCAAGGGAGGGAAATGCCTGGATGAGACAGGGCAAGAGTCAGGATCAACTCCAGGCCCTTTGGAGAACAGGGGCCAAGCTAAGGAGAGTGAAGTTCAACTTCTCCCCGTTGAGATTATATAGATGCTCCCACAGCATCTCAGCCCAGAACTGAGAAAATAATAGTTGCTGTGATTTACTGAGCACCTGTGGGGCTAGAAATGTGCTGATTGCTTTAAGTAGATTATTTTATTTAATCTTCACAACTCTATGAGGTAGGTACTATTATTCCTATTTCACAGATGAGAAACTGAGGCTTGAATTAAATGTCTTGCTCAAGGCCACAGTAAGTGACAGAGGAAAAAGGACCAAACTTCTAACCATTCCTAAAATGAAATCTCACGACTCTGGACTAATGGGAGAATGACTGTAAAGTGGAGGGAAAGTCTTGACATAGAAGAAAATAGATTGCTTTCTATTTCTAAAACCTCTGAGAACACACAGTAACTAAAACTTCAAGGAACAGATTCTGTGGAGTCCTGCTTTAGTAAACAGATAAGATAAAATTACAACATTTTTGTTAATATGCCAAGTCTTTAATAATTACTTTGATTTAAGCCATTCTACGTTACTAATGTGCTTAGTAAACCTCTTTCTTCCAGATCGGTTCAGACTAATAGAAATTCTCATTTAGAGGGGTCTAATTGAATGATACAGGTAGACTTAATGGATCCGAAGTGCAGGCCCAAGTCGGACGTGGGTCAACTGCTTGACTGACCACTCTCTAAATAATTGTTCTTATGCCACTCAACCTCTTGAGTCTGTGTCATCATCTGTAAAATGGAGGTAGCATCTACCCTTAGGATGGTTGTAAGATGACTGTTAGAATTCCCCTGCATGCTCTGCCTGCCAAGAGAGCCCTCTTCCTCCAGAATAAGCAAGTGACAGAGAAGGGGTAATAGGCTAGGGGAGAAGTGGAAAGTCCCTGACAACGGATGGAAGGTTCCCATATTCTGGGTGGTCCAGAATTCAGCACAGTCTTTCTTCTCCCTCACCAACCTGCCTCCCTCTTGTTGGAGGGGATTTTCTGCCCTAACTGGAAGCTTCAAGCTCTAGATTCACTCCTCACTATGTAGGGGGAAGGGGTTGGCTGGGGGAGGGAGACTTGGACTTAAGACTGTACCAGATCTAAGGCACAGCTGTGCTATATATAGCCCAAGGGAGCTGAGTGACAAGACAGGGGAAGCGAGGGATGTGCAGCTCTTGCCTTGAGCTAGGGAGTGCTGTGAGTGAGGGGATGATGATGAATGAAGTGGACAAGGAACAGAGGATGCTCTGAGCTGGGATTGGAATAGGAAGAACCCAGGCTGAAAGGCTGGGGTAATCACAGGGGAGAAAACAGTCCATATATTAGTATCTGGAGGATGGGAGGGGCAAAGAGGGGATAGGCAGGGGCAGTGGAAGTTTCCAGATAACATAGCTAGGCTAAGGCAGCCTCTAGAAGGTGCCTGGGGTGGGGAGGGTTGGACATCCCCTCTCCTTCTAAAAAGAGGCACTGGGTTCCAAGGACCTTGCAGCATTTATCCAAGGACAGCCACAAGAGCCACAGGCCTGGGCCAGGAAAGTGCATTCAGTACCCACTAATCATTCTCAAGAGACTATTCACATATTTTAAAAGATTCTACGAGGGTGTGGATAATGGTGACTGGAAGGCTGAATCAGACTGTAGTGATGATGACATAGAAGCATGTCTTGTGAAGGAATAATTCTGCGCAGAAGGCACCAGTACGACCCCTGTACTAAAAATTGGATGCTCAGACTTGAGATGTTTTGCTAAAGTTCTTGTGTTGGGTGCTTTTGAATGCCCAAATTACCCAAAGCACATTATGAGATGGGACTGATGTCTTGCAAGCCTACAAGATTTAGGCATTTTACATATTTAATCCTCATGACAGCCCCAACTGGTAGATATCATTGTCCCCATTTTACAGATAAGGAAACTAAGGCTGAGAGAGGTTAAGTAACAGTCATATCACACAGCAGGTAAATGGCTGAGCTATCCAACCAATACTGATAACCACTATGGACCACTTTATAATGAAAAATTAACATATAACAATTAATGTACATTTCATCACATTCTCACACTATCTTAGAAATACAAGAAAATGAATGCAAACAGCTGGGTATAGCAGACTTCTGAACCAAGAGCTTCCGAACTTTCCAGGACTGCACACCCACCCCGCTGCCTCTCACCAAGGCAGGGTTGGTCCTAAGCCAGCACACTGCGTTCTGGACATGTCCAAAATTCCTTGCTTGTGGATGGTATCAGAGAAATTCTAATCATTTTTCATGTCTTTCTCCCCACCCCCAACTCCTGCACATACATACTTCACCTTCACTTACCCTTCATCTGCAAGTAAATTGACCTTAATTTAAAATCCAGCATTAATACACAAGAAACTGCTAGCCAGGCTCTGGGAAACACTGCTGGGGAGTCATCTTACTGTTCCTACTGTACTGCTTGTATTACCTATTCAAAAATTTTTTGACCAAAAAAAATCTGCTTCCTTGTGGCAGGGAGGAGCAGTATAATGTGTCTCACAGGTTAACTGAAACGGAGATTATGGCGGGGGCGGGGGGGCTATGCTATTAACACCCTCTTCCCAATCGCACAAGTAATTGAGAGCTTCTTACCCGGCCAGTCTGGGGCAGGCAGGGCTTCCTGTTGCCAACAGGGAGCTTCACCAAATCCTACCTCTCTGGGCCTCTAATCCCATCCCCCAGAACAGAAGAATCTGCTCTGAGTTTACCAGTCAAGTGGGGACCCTGGAAAGTGTGTAATGGAAATAGTGACACACTGCAGCCTTCAACTTGACCCTACAGTTCCCAAACCACAGAGCCCCAGGGTGACTCTCAAGTTCTCAGACTGGGTTTTGATCCTTTCCTGCCTGGGCCCCATGTGAATAAAAAGTGATGTGGTTCTCACAGCACCGGGTTCTACCACTCCCTGCCAGAGGCTGGAAACCAGACCCGTTTCCCTGTTTGAAACTTGGGGCTTTTTTTCTTTCCCTGTGGTAGCCTTTTTTACATTAGCAATGGAGAGCTTTCCTTCATTCATTCACTCTGCATATACTTGCTAAGCACCTACTATGTGCTGGGCTCTGCTCCAGGAGGTGGAACACAGTGGCCTTGCCTTCAGGGAGCTCAGGTTCTAGTCCTGGTTTGC